TTCCACATTCACCCCACAAGCTGCTTTTTGGATGGAGTCCTACCTCTCCTCCTCTGACCCACACCCATTTCTTCCCATATCTAGAATCCTTCCACCTCCACACCCAGCTTCAGCATTGCAGTATTTTTGGTTCTTGAAATACTTCAGTGGAATAAAGAAGCAAATGCGTAAATAGATAACAAATTTGCAGGCATTCCTACAAAGTCCTCCCATTCTGAACTGCTTTGCTCCCTACAAAGGTTAAAGACATACATAATTTGTTGAATGTTATATCCCAGTTCACCCATCTAGCTATATGCCATTACTTACCATGTAAGAATGAACCAAACGAAGGCAAAGAATAAACTTTAGTCTTTCCTTAATTTTAGTAGAATAGAGGTAACAAGAAAAGAACTATATTTCTGGCAGGAGCACTGTGATTCTTACTGATGGAAGAAAACAGTCTGATCTGTTCTTATTTTTTTCAAATTCAATTTTTCCTTTCAAGAAAGTGCTTCTCTGCAAACATGACTACTTGTTCTTTGATTTTTCTGGAGAAAGCCTCAGCTGAATAGGAGAGGATCGTTAGAATGCACATAAAAGACAAAGGTTCAAAGAAAAGCTGAATACTCAATGAGCACAGGTTTATTTTAGTAAACAACAAAAACTCAAGGCTGAAAAAGATCTTATCCCTTTTAATCACTTAAATTTTTCTCACCTTCCCAATTTTCAAGCTACATGCCTACAATAAACAAACCTGCATTGATAAAAGTCTCTATAAAAGCACAGAAAACTTCTATTTGATGCAACAGTGAACTCGCTCATGTCAGCTTTGACTTGGGTTTGCCAATGCCTTGCTTTTGCAAGCAGCAGGGAAAAATTGTTCTGATAAATAGAAAAAGGTAAATTTCAAAACAAATTCCTAAAAATGAAACTTTAACCTTCTTAATTCATGAAGTCTTTAAGAACTTTTTCAGTCAGCTTTCCAGTTTACCTAGAAGTACTTCTGTAGAAGCTAAACTAGGTAGACTGATGGAACAGAATTCCTCAAATATCATCCTTGGATTGATTTCTAAAACAACTTCATTTGGTAAATTAATAACCTAAATAATATAAACCTGGTTAAAAAACAAAATCAACACAAAGATTCTAACATATATTCAGAACCACTGAAGTGAAAAATAGGAAAAAAGGCAAGCCAAGTAAGCAAATCCCTGAATTTAGATAGTTAGGTGATTTTAACCAGAAATAAGCGTTTCTTACACACATGTGTATGAGTAAATATACACACACATACACAAGGAAAAAGATATATTTATGTAATCAAAACCAGTGCCTTGGTGCCTAATGACTATGTAGTCATCATGAGGTACTAAAACCACCAAGGTGAAAATTCTTATTGATCTTAATAGATGAAGAGCCTGAAGCCTATCAACAGGTATGCCTTCTCTATTGACAAGCATCATACTGGGGTTGCCACAGGGGTCCATTTCCTCATGCACTTACAAATAATCTAAGTGACTTAAATTTCCTATACTACTATCCAGCTTAAATCTGTTTTGGGGATAAAGCCCTTAAGTTTTCAGAGCTCAGTGAGTGCTCAATATACTAAAAATAAATAACTAGACCAGTGAAGTATTCTATGCAGAACAAAAGAAAACCTCAAATTTTTCAGTCCTGTATCCCAGTTGTTGTATAAATAAAGATTACATCCAAACCAAGCATCACTTCAGAAATATTGACTGAGCTCCCATGAAGTGATGAGGAAAGGCTATCTGTGCACATTTCTAACATAAAGTAAACAAAACCAGACCTATTCATTCCTAAAGAAACAAAACCCTTTAACAATGTAACCACTTCTGCTGAGAACATACAGAATATATTATGGCATTGCATATTTTTTTAACCCCAAATAACAAACACCACCTTTCATCATTTGCATTTGTGGGGGATGAGGAGGATGGGGGAGGAGGGAAGAATTCTGTATTTATGGGGGATGAGGGAGGCAAAGAAGTATTAGAACTCACCGAATTAAACTAAATAAATAAATAAAATGCAAAAAGGGTCAAACTCCTAGCTAGCATCAACTTCAACTTATTAATACAACCCTATACAAAAATAAAGCTACCTTATGCAATGGAAACAACTCCTTGTCTATCCCTGTTTCAGAATAGCTTTCCTTCTTCAAGCAAATTCAATGACATGGGGGAAAAAACACACAAAAACCACATAATACCAAATGGTAAAATAGTCACCTTGGTATTTAATTGGTACTTCCTTATTCTGAAAACGTGTATACATCCCAAGGAAAAAAAAAAAGTGTCCTTTAAAAATAATCACATTTCAATGAAGTCTATATCCTGAGTCATTTGTTTGAAATGCCAGTCCAAGGAATGTTAAGATTTGGCTGACTATTATCTCCTCGACATTATCCCAATTTGATTATACAGTGTTTACTACATCAAAGCCAAAAAAAAAAAGCACAGTAATAGATTCAGCGACACACCCACTTGCAACACTGAAGACCTATTATTAAAGAACCATAAGAATAATTTTCAAAAGGTTTTTATTTTCAAACACAGTCTAGTGTAAGATCTTACCATAAAGCAAGGTTGTTAAATATTTTTATTCAACCCACATACTTGAAGCTGTGCCTCAGAAGTTGGGTGAAATTATTTATGTGATCAGGAAACTTGACTATCCTTGCCTGACTCTATTGGACACATTACAGAAACCCAACAGCCAAGTTTCATACGGTTGAATGCACCAATAGCATGCCATTAACATTCATTCCCTCATAGCTTTGTAACTCATACTGGAACATAAACCAACGTATTTCTTTCAGACCTGACCATGAACATGTTTTCAGTATTTTTAGTTTTAACATAGCTTTCTTATTCTGAAATCAACATAATAAACATGAATATTCAGCTAATCAGTACACCCAAATAAGCAGGTTACAGTTCAAAATCCACTCGTGGGGGTGCCTGTATAGCACAAGGTCACAACACGCTGTGTTGTTTCCCACTCATGCAGGAGCACTACAGCAATTTAGATTCAGACAACTAGAATTATTATAATCAACACGTCTTCCAGAGTTACACTGCCTGGGATTACAAGATAGTGATTATAATGTTGTCACCCTGTCTACCTTAGCTCTCACATCATCTCTAGCACTGGCAAGGCTGAATGCTAGACAACTTTAAAAGGAGAAGCTATCGTTGGGCAGAAGTTTAAATTCAGCCTGAGAGGCTACAAAACAAACACGTATTTAATTAAGGAAGCCAAACTGGTCATACCACGTGAGCCTTTCAGCAGGCTTGACAGCACTATCCCTGCTATCCTCCTACATGTATCAAATCAGAGAAGTGTTGTTTGTGCAACATGTTTTCAAAGATGCAGCAAAACTTTTAAATATAAACAGAGCTATTTAGTGCTGGCTATCAACAAAACAATCAGCTTAATGTACATCCTAACACTTGTGATAACACTTGAACACCAGATCTTGTAAGTACAGGAGTACGCAAACAACCTACCACTTCGTTTCTCCATAAGCGCATCAGTCAGTACAATAGCTGTTCACATGCTTTTTCTTATTTTAAGAAAACCCAAGTAGCTATTTTCCAGTTACTGTAGCTAATACATTGTTCATAAGTTTATTCTATGAAAACGAGTTCCAGCTGAAAGTCTAGAACTCTTTTATATTATATACATGTGCAAATGCAACTTTCTTTTATTTTCACTCATTTTCATTTAATAATCTGAACAGAAAATGAGAGGTGAAAATCTTAGTACATTTCCGTCCTCAATCTGGTCTAATTCTTATGAGTTGCCAGGGTAATGTAAATTACAAGAAGGCAGAATATAACAGGAAAACAAGTATGTTATTTATTAGCAATAAGTCCCCTTCCAGAGAGCACAGCACCAATTCTCACCAGACTTTTGGAGCATTATCTTTCAGTAATCTTTTTTTAATTTTGTTTAGTATCAAATCAAACATGTTCCTATATAAAATAAACCATGCAACACATACCTAAAACTCACCTCACCAATGCAAATTACACAGAGAAGCTACCTTCTGCTCAACACTAAGACACAAATAAACCTACCTGCAACCTCTAACTTCTATGTCTTTTAGTAACCTTCACTCATAGAAGCTATTCCACTCATGACACTATTCATTTAAAGACAGCAAACCAAACACATGATGTAGTAAGTAAAAAGTCCTGAACAGATTGAAAAAAGGCTGAAAATTCTTAAATAACAGGAAAAAAAAAGCATACCAACTGGATGAATGTATGCAGATGCCACTTTAAAATTTTCTGGATAAAGAGGGTCTGACTATCTAAAGAGGAAAAACCTTGTAAGAAGTTTGTACAGATCTGATCAACACGATCTCTGGACTTCTACGTAAGAGCTCTATCTCCAGGCCTCTCATTCAAAAAGACAGTATGTACAGCAAGTCTATCACAGTGGACACACACCTCAAAGCATACTAAAACCTTAACAAAAATAACCATGAAAACCAGTGCTAAAAGCAGAAACAGGTCTGCAAAGAAGTCAGCCACATTAAACCTTCAGAGTTGCTTTTAACAACGCAGTAACTGGAGAACAGGGCTGAATCAAGACTCCTCCCAGTGATGAAGTAAGATCTTGCCTTTCTGAAAGCATTTATGGTACGACAGTGATACACACACGTGTCAAACAGACAAACTCAAGGTTTTCTGGACTTGCAAGGACATTTGTTGCTGGATGATTACACTCACAAAAGAAATTTCATTTGAATTTGCATCCTTAAGCAGCCTTAATTAAGAAGTATTAAGACAAAAATTCAAGAAATTATTTTAGCTGTGCAGAATTCAGTAAACAAAGGACTACATACACTATGACGAACTTGAATACTCCTTTTAGATGTATAGCATAACATTTAAATTCAGTTCAGAATACATTCAAGATTACAGCAACATTTAGACAAACTAACTGAAAATTACAGTATTGTGACAGATAAACATTCAACTTACTTCACATAATATCTTGCACCTTCAAAAGTATAAGCTTCCTCCCAACCCGTGGGTAAGTCTGAAAAACAAGTAGCAAAACATTTCAATTAACTTTTGAGATGCTGTTAGGCATACTGGTCTACTCCCTAGAACTAAGGTAGTTAAAATACTGTGTGTCTGACTCCACATGTTGAAAGCTTTAGCCCAATAAACAAATATTTTAGAATTGACTTACAATACTGTCTCAGTTTAAATTCTGTAATCCAAGAGAAGCTGTATGCATGAAAATCTGATTTGGATGTTTCATTCTCAAATAATAACTATATGGGCTTAAGGCTGTCCTTACTTAATGATGTTCCTTCCTTTGACCAGTAACTAGAACTCACTGTCATCACCAGATCTTTCAGCCCTGAACTTCAGTAGCATCAAATTACCTGACAGGCAGAGATCTAAACAAAATCCACTTACTGAGTTTGCATTACATGCAAGTCACAAGCATCTTAACAGGCATGATATCAACTACACCACAGAGCATCGGCATTTTATTAGCATAATTCTACCACTGTTGTGACTAACAAGTGTTCCTGCAGTGTTTACAACTCCATTCAATTCTACATGAAAATAATTTTCAATGCAAAGCTAGTGGAGGAAGCGGGTACATCTTCTCCTCTATTATCATACTTAAAAGTCAGGAGCCCTCATATAAAAAAACCCCACCGCTAATGGTCAATTCTTTTCAAGTGACAACTTCCTGATGTAATAGAAGCTCTGAAAATATTGGGCAACTCTAGGTACATTACTACCCTTAAAAGTTTACCTCAGTTAATAAAACCAATAATTGACTCATAGGACTCACTCACTGAATTACAAAAGCAAGAATGCATTTCCTAATTAAAAGAAAAAAACATTCAGTCTGGGTCATGTGATGCCCTCCCCCTAGTTTACTTATTTGCTTTGTCTGACTTTTTTCTTCACTCCTGTGTTCTGTACAACAAAAATCAAGGTGTCTTTCAATAACGGCACAGGGCAAAGTACAGCAAACAGGAAGTCTCCCTAGCAGACGTATTTATGACTGCTATAAGAACTTTACATAAAACACCTTTCCAGTGCTGAGTATCTCAAGGAATAAAAAGCATTTCAATTTATAATGGAGGACAAAGCTTTCCTCATCTAGTAAGTATACCACAGTATTATTTAATAAGGAACTTTATAATAATATACACTTCCAAAGTTACATGCTCATAATTTGTTTCTTACGGGAAGATGTATTTTGAACATATTTTGACTGGGTTCCAAAACAAGATATAAAACCCTGAATTAATCAGTTTTATTATATCTATGTATGGAGAGACTCATCCACACACACAGGAAGGATGAAAACTACAGAAACCGATTTCTTTTGCAGATGCTTCAGTATCTGATTGATAAATCATGGTCAGCATATCCAAGGTCATGCCTCACTCTTGTGTTCCAAAACAAGTTTAATTACCTGACAACAACTGTGCTATGTTACATACAACGTTCCAGATACTGAAAAGCAAACTGTATTTCTTTAGAAGGCTCTTAATGGCAGAAACAAATGAGATGCTTAGAAAATTCCTGGGGAATCACCATCAGTCAACAGAGACACTGGTAATAGCTTAAAAAAAGAATTCATACTCAGCTAATGTTAGCATCCAACAAGCAAAGCACTTCAAGTACATCTGCCCCCATGCATATTGCTGTAGATGAAAGCCAGTTTCTCAATTAACCTGAGTACTGAAAGTGGGGGGGAACGAGAAGCCCGATAGCAATCCTGTAATTCCATTTCCCGGCATTAAATGACTTCTTACAAACAACAGACCTTCACTGCAAACCAAACCACCGAGTTGTAATAGTCAGAAACCTGTGCTTTTTAAACTATTCCCAACTAAAAAAAAAATAAACAAAAAAAATAAACAATCAGCTGCCCAGTTTTCCAAAAGGCTGTTCTCTGTTTCTGATTTCTTAATGCCTAAGTATTAACCAAACATAAAAAGCAAATAATCTGATACAGTCCAATTCACTTGCCGATTTCCCTGCGATTATCCAAGTGATTACATACATAAAACCAACTGCACTTACTGCTACACTCCACCACCTCCCAGTGGCATATGCAGCCTGTGTGCAATTCCAGCAGTCAGAGTTTGGCTCTGGGTCTCCAGAGTGTCTGCTGTAAATCCTCCTCCTCCAGCACCTCCTGCTGCTACTTCTCCAGAGTGGAACAAACAGCAGCAGCAAAGAAGACCAATTCCACCCTCCTCCCTCCAAGTTATTCCTAATGTTTCAGTCCCTTTTTCTCCCACCTATTCCAACTCTCTCAGTCACTTAGAAACCACCCACACTCTCAGCCTAGATGGAAGTGAAGGGAGGAAAAGGGTTTCTAGGTGACTGGTGAAGTCAGCCTTTACATTTCTAGTATACCTATCACGGTTATACCTAGGTGCTGCTGGAAACAGAAATATGATGAGCGGTTTAATGCTAAACTGAGGAAGGATGCTATGCAGGTGAATAACCAGGGTAGCCTGTAAGAAGCACAAGAAGAATAAAGCGGTCTCTAATGGTAACTACACAATATTATAGGGGTGATACAAGGCAACGGAAAGAAAGCAAAGAAAGAGAAATTACACAGACACAGAGTGAAAACTCGGGTGCAAAGGAACACATTTTAAGAAAGAGACGAGGCAAGCTGATGGCAAACTGGACATGCAAAGCTGCACTGTAATGCCATTCTTTACAGAATGGTTTGGGTTGGAAATGGACCTTA